CCTGTCCCTGGATGTCTGCTCCTCTCTCCCTGTCCCTGTGTGTTTGCTCCTCTCTCCCTGTCCCTGTGTGTCTCCTCCTCCTCTCTCCCTGTCCCTGTGTGTCTCCTGCTCACCCCTCTCTCCCTGTCCCTGTGTGTCTGCTCCTCTCTCCCTGTCCCTGTGTGTCTCCTGCTCACCCCTCTCTCCCTCTCTCTCCCTCTGGTCTCTGTGCAGTGGTGCTCTGGGAGGCTCTCCTCCCTCTGGACTGCAGTTCACTCTTCAGCTCCATTTAGCAGCAGCTTCAGGAGAAACCTGGGTCCCTTTCTCCTACAGGGACCCTGGCTGCTGCTTCTCTGCTTTATTTATTATTTTCTTTATATGTTTTTTTGCTTCAAAATGCAAGAGTTTCCAGAAGTTCTCTTGCCCGGAGCAACACGGCCTCCCTGTTCTGCCCAAGGAAGGGATGTCAGCTGAAGGTGATAGTCTGTGGAATTCAGTTTCTACTTTCCTGTCTCCTGCTCTGTCTGCAAGGTGCTGTGCAAAATCCTTAGACATCCCAGACACAGACCGGAGCCAGGATCCCTGTGTGAGGAGCACCAGGAATTCTCTCCAGGCCCCCGCTGGTGCTGGATCTGTTCTCAGTCCTGTGACTGGGGCTGATGCAGCTCAGGCTGGGTGAGGAGTCATTCAGCACCTTCAAGTCTCTCTGACCAGCGTCTCTCAAGCACCGCCCAGCAGCTCAAGGACAGCCGGACACGAGCGGCCAGCAGGAAGGGCTGTAGGGGCTGCTGTCACACTGACCGGTCCAGCGTGGTGACCAGCTGTCAGGGGCTCCTGGTCAGTCAGCAGGAGCTCCTCCCCCCCCCCCCTCACAGCTTTCATGGGAGGGGGAGAGAGAGGCTGGGTATCTTCCTTTTGGAGAGGGTCTGGTTTTTTCGCTTCTCTTTTGGGGAGACGGTGTCCCCGTCACCTCTGACCTTCTTCGCTGTCTTGCCCCCCTTCCCGGCTCCACGCGGGTGTTTGGAGCGGGAACCTGGCGGGACAGAGGCACCGGGCGTAAAACACGGCGAATCCTGCGCCCTAGAACCGCCTGTGTTTCTCTGAGGTTTGCCCGAACCCTGCCCACGCCGCTGGTGATCCCGGCCGCTCGCGCCGGCGGAGTGGCGCACGCGGAGTTCAAGAGCCCCGGCGGGGCCGCGCGCCGCTTATTAGCCCGACGCGCGTGTCGGCGGAGGGGAACCGGGTGTCTCGGAACCCCTTGGACCTCGGTTCCGCTCCGAACCGGGTTAGGGGAGAGGGCTGGCCGGACCGGGCCGGTGGTTCAAAATGAAACACACAGACGCGCACAGAAGCCTTCAGTTCCGCGAGGTGCGTCGTAACTCATCTGTTGTTTTTATTTTAAAAGCCTTTTATTCCCCCACCTCCCGAACACACACACACACACACACCCCACTCCCCTCCTGGCACAGACTAGCGGGCTCAGCTTTCAGGTTGGGTGTTTGGGGGCGCATGTGCGCCTGAGTTTAATTCCTTTTGTGTCCTCCCTGCCCTGGTGCGTGTGTGTGTCTGAGAGGCGCGGAGCGAGGGAGGCGGAGAGCCGGAGCCGGGCCCATCTGTCAGCGCGCCGCGCTCCTCGCCCCCGGGGACCGGGGCAGTGACGACTTGCACAGCTCACTTGTGGCAAAGGTTTGTTATGATGGAGCGGGGGGTTGGGGTCACTCGGTCGCAAGAGCTGTGTTTCGCTGTTCCGTGGAACTCAAGAAAGGTTACAGACAAGAGGGAGCACCTCGGCCCTGCCTGGCCCGGGGGGTAATTAGTAATTAATTCAGGGATCGCATCCAGCTGTTGATGAAAAGAAATCAGAGTGTCGGCTTCAGCAGCATGGCTGGCAGCTTGTTCCCCACCCCCACCACTCTCCGTGTAGAGTAATGCACTTCTGCATAGTTTCTACATGTGTCTTCCAGTTCAGTTTGAGCCGCAGACACAGAAGAGGGGTGCAACACCCATGTGTGTCTTTCCAGAATGATAAGATGGGGTGCAGAGAGAGAGAGGCCAGAGCCCTCCTGCCTCTAAAAGGGGCGAAGACGGAGCCCCACGTTTTTAAACTGCGTTGATCCGCGGTGAAGAGACCTCTCCCGTATCCAGACTCACTGGCCTCCAGCCCGAAGGATCCCCAGGGGCTCCCCGGCCTCGGAGCAGCGCAGGGATGGGGAGCTTAGACCTGGAGGATCCAGCCCCCTGTGCCGAATGGAGGGAGGTCAGGAATATTCCCGCTCCGGGCTGCAGGTGCGCCGGAGCCGCAGCTCAGCCCCGAGGGAGGGGGGCTGTTAGCGAGGGGGCTGGGAATTGGCATCCCCTAGTTAACCCCACTGACACCTCCCCCAGCCATGCAGGCACCCCTGGGGGCACAGACATCACCTGGGCTCCCGCTAGTGGGGCTGCGGGGGTCAGCGCCGCCGTGGCACAGCTGTGAGGTCCCAGGTTCGAATCCAGGGTGAGGTTCCTTTCTGTGTGGAGTCTGCATGTGGCACAGGGGTGTGTGGGTCAGGCTGGGGGGTGGGGTGGCTAGCTGTGAGTGGGTGTCACAGTGTGAGAATGTGTGTGAGAGTGTGAGTGTCAGTGTGAGTGTGAGTGGGTGTCAGTGTGAGTGGGTGTGGGTGTCAGTGTGAGAGTGTGGTAGTGTGAGTGGGTGTGGGTGTCAGTGTGAGTGGGTGTGGGTGTCAGTG